ATCGATGTACTGCTTGGCATAGCGCTGGCACTCCTCCACCTTCTCCTTGTTGCGGTCGCACTCCTCCAGGAGTTTCTGGGGAAACATACAGGGGTGAGGTCAGGCACCCCGTGGCCACCCTACCTTCTCCTGCAGCAGCTGCTCCCGCACGGTCTTGCTGTCGGTGATGGGCACCGCCTGGATTTTCTCCTGCCGCTGCTTTGCGTCCTGGATCCACTGGAGCAACCCGTCGCAGCTCTCACGGTAGTACCGCAGCTGGCGGCCCAGCTGGTCCAGCTCACGCTGGCGCAGGTCCGTCTGGGCGAGGACAGCCTGCCAGCGCTCCAGCAGCTGCTGGACTCTCTCCCGGTAGCGGTCCAGGTCCACGTCACGCTCGCTGTGGCCCCTGACCATGCGCTCGTTGACATCCTTGGCCTTGCTCAGGTCGGTCTCCAGCGTGCTGAAGAAGGGCTGATGCCCCTCCGCCTGCGCGCGCAGCCGCTGCGGCAAACAGAGCGTGGGTCAGCCCTGGCCCCAGCACCCCCAGTGCCCCGCCAGCACGGTGCTGCCCCAGCTGTTACCTTCAGCTCGGCCTTGCTGGCCTCCAGCTCCTTGAGGTCAGCCGGCACGGTCTGCACATCCTTCAGCTGGTCCTCGTACTTCTTGACCAGCTCCTCTGCCCCCTGAGTGCTGCGGATCACCAGGTTGATGGTCTTCAGCCTGCAGAGAGGAGACGGGCTCAGCTGGTGCTGGGCAGCAGCATCAGTCAGCACAGCGCCAGGAACTCACGGGAAGGGAAGGACATGCTGGCACAGCCAGCTTCCTCCAGACCTCATCAGCCTACCCCTGGCCAGACCAGGCTCATCCCAGCTGATGCAGCAGTTTTCCCCAGCCCAGGATGACCAAGGAGCTGTGCAGGGGCTGGACACTCACTTCTCCAGGTAGATGCTGGAGAGGCTGTACACCTGGTCCATCTTCTGCAGGGTGATCTCCAGCTCTGAGCGCAAGACGGGGGCCGAGCTGGCCTGTTCTGGCTGGGCCAACACCTTCTCTGTCTTCTCACTGACCTTGTCCAGGTTCTTCTTGATGCCCTCCAACTCCAAGTGGATTTGCTGCAGGGCGAGGAGGGTCCCTCAGTCCCTGTCTGGTGCCTGCCAGCTGCAGTTTGGGGCCAAGCCCTGCCCGTGGCTGATCCCCCATATAACGCCGTGCCAAACACCGTGCCCTGCCAGCCAGGACCCGGCCTGCAGGGCCCCTGGCCACCCCCTAGCCCGGAGGATAAGGAGCAGAGCAGAGGAGGGGAAGGGGTCTGCAGCCCACCCAGTGTGGGTGGACAGACACCAGCCCCGCTCCGGGTGCCGAGGTCCCTGTCTGCCTGCGTTGCACACCAGCACACATGCGTGTGCACACATACCTGCTGCTCGGTGATGCGCTGGGCACACTCCTTGACCGGGTCCTTGTCGAGGGGCAGGCGGATCTTGTGGATGGTGCGGGTCTCGCAGCTCTCCAGCTGCAGACGGATGTCTTTCAGCTGGGAGATATAGTTCTTGCACAGGGACTCGTCCTGCTCTCCTGTGGGAACACCAGGGACAGCTTAGAACCTTCCCGTTCCCTTTGCCCCGTCCGCATCCCTGGGAAGAGAGGGGACGCCCCAGGGAGCACAGGGCAACGGGGGGGAGGGAGCTCACCTTTCTCCTGGCTGCGCAGCAGCAGCTCGTACTTCTGGGTGCAGGCATTGTACTCGCGCTCCACATGCAGCCGGTCGTCAGGCTGGAAGCTCTGCGAGTCCTGGCTGTCCCGCAAGAATTCCTGGTAGTGGGTCTCCAGGCTGCGCAGGCTGCGCAGGCCCTGCCGGCACTCCTCCACCTGCATCGTGCGGAACTGGGGGGGCAAAGGGTGCTGTCAGCCCCCGCCACCGCAGCAGGACCCCCGGGGACCCCACAGGCTGAGCGCAGCCCCGTGCCAGCACTGCGAGAGACTCACCGTCAGGTGGGACCAGGACTGGATTTGCTGGATGTCGCGGATCAGGTACTGCCAGGACAGGAGGCTCCTCATGTCCAGGTGCAGCTGGTGCCAGAGCACGAGGAGGTGCTGGTGGGCAGCCTCCAGCCTGGGGAGAGGTGGCACGAGTGAGCTGGGGGCCAGGGAGCGGCG